TTCAATAAAACACTGTTAAAAGTACTGTTTTGCAAACCAAACCGGACTGGCACCTAGAAGTACAAACTAGTTGGGTGAGTATTTGAAATCATTTAGGAGACTGAAGTGCCTTAAACCACTCAAACCATCCAAACTAATAAGAACCGGTAACCCATTCAATTGACCGAGCCAACTCTTTGGAAGAAATTCTCCAAAATTTGTCTCCTCTGGGTCTCAAACAGTAGACCTCATAAGAGGTTAACGAACCATTTGCCACTAGAGCACTTAGCCTAATGAAAAATAAGTGGCAAAGAATATGTTTGAAAGAATATTACATGGATTTTAAAGGAAGAATGACCACCATGGGATTCAAACACTGAATCTCTTGAAAGCATTGAATGATTCGCGCCACTTTGATCTAAACCTAGTTTAATGGCTCTTGATGCATTAAGGTTTATTTATTATAATGAAATTACATAAATTAAATAAATTTGAGACACCCAAGACTTAAATTCTAATTCACCTCAACATAAATACAGATTCCAAATCACTAAAGTAGGGATGTCAATAAGGCCCTGCGAGGCCGGGGAGGTCCCCATGAATGGTGGCAATGGGAATCCTCACAGGAATTTTTTACGAGGAGCAGATTTTGCCTCCCATCCTCATACCTCGCGGGGATCCCGATTCCTCACCAATTAATATTCAATTATAAATCTTTTACATATAATTAACTAATATTCAATTATAATGAATAAAATTTTAAAAATTCAAGTACAATTAACTAAAATTCTTTAAATACAAAATTAAACATAAATTGTCCAAACATAAATAAAAATCAATTCAACATAAATAATTAAACCAACAAACTTGTTTCAAACATAAATAAAGATTAATCCAAGTTAAACCAACGTACTTGTTCCAACTATAAGTAAAAATTAATCCAGCATAAATAAAATAATTAAACCAATATCCAGAAGGGAGGCAATCAACTCAAAACACTTTAACTCTCAAAATCCACATTTACTCATCAAAAAATCTACAATAGAATTAGTATATACTTCATGTTAACATATTCATGCTCATTTCCAACATTTAGAAAAAAAAGAAATCAAGATGAACATTTTTTCCTCCCCTTAAATCTTGTTCCAAAAGCATGGGAAAATTAATGTTTTAGAATTCAATTCTTCGAATTTTTATGATTAAGGTCCTAAGTTG